TCTCTCTCTCTCTCACACTCTTTTCTCACCCTCTCTCTTACGACGAAAATGTTCCTAATTTCTGATATTTTGTATTCAGAGATAAATTAGAAATTTCCACATTGAAAATAAAATGAGAAATTTTAAAGATAATCTACATAGGATTATGTCTATTTGCAGAAGACGCCAGCAAATTTATTCGTGACAGGAATATTCCACCTGAGGCATTTTTATCGATAATAAGAGGGCAGGTACTTAAATTAGAATTTCATGTTAGTTCTAGACAGACTTTTAATGGTATTGGCTTGTTAGATCTGGTGCCTTAGCAATTCGGAGGGAATATTTATAAAAAATATATTTGCAGCGAACGGCTAATATATAAAAAAAATGAGTGCAAATAATATGAGCACAAAACTTATAATAATAATAATAATAATAATAATAATAATAATAATAATAATAATAATGATAATAATAATATAGAGGTAACTTCGACTTTCAGTTTCTTTAACCAAATGCATTGATCATCGAATATAAAGTTTACAGGTTATTTTCCTTTATGATGATTATTTGCCTCATGTTCTTTTAATAATTAGTTCACTATACATCTAACACTTTCCCCTCATATATATATATATATATATATATATATATATATATATATATATATATATATATGTGTGTAACATAACTTGTGCGTCATGAGCAAAGCATCCTGACGGAGACCAACCCACTTCAAGCTAGACCGATTTCTTAAGATGGCTACGAAGAAAACCTATAGAATCTAATCTGTTCTGGTATTTACATATAGATGGTGGTGAGTTGGAATCATATATTTTCCCAAGGGTATTAACGCATAAGACAATTTAACGAACTCGACTGGAATTTGAACCCGACTCACGATTCATCAATGCGAGCCGATATCGGCCTTGGATAACAGACAAATCGAACACTCTTTTGTGCCTTTTTTTTTAATTGATTAGGGGATTACAAAAATATATATATATATATATATATATATATATATATATATATATATATATATATATATATATATGTGTGTGTGTGTGTGTGTGTGTGTGTGTGTGTGTGCGTGTGTGTGTGTGTGTGTGTGAAAGCAGTATTGCTTAAATACATTTCTTTTTTTATGAAAAACAAACTCAGAATATGGGTAAAAATGTATTAAACTTCCCGCGTCTGTCTCCTCGAGATGGAGGACGATTTATTTGCTTACTAGTTTTTAGCGTTTCTTTAATGTGGGGTGAAGTAAAAAGTCACTGTCAGTTACCTGTATTTGGCCATAATTATTTTTTATCAATGTATGTGTGGTGTTTCGAGCGCAAACTCAAGCCGACTTTTTTTTTTAGTTCTAACCGGCTTTTGTGGGTCTTCCAAGTAATTGAGATCCTTCTGAATTTCTCATTGTCAGATTTCTCACGTAAGCTCTACCTTACCAGAGACATGACATACAGAAGGAATGTTCGTGTATATTAAACTCAATTTCCCTTTTCTGCCTTCGATTCGTGGTGTACAAAAATCTACGCAGTCAAGAGGCCACCCGATTCCTGACATCCAGCATAATGCTGTTTGTAAACGTTACAGTTCTAATGTTTTAGCATTTATAAAAGCCTCACTATTTAGTGGCTGGGATAATTGGATATTCCAAGTGGTTGTAGTGGGGTTGTATTCCAATTAAAAGTTAGAAGATTTAATATTTATTTTCAATATAGACAAGCACAAAATGTATCTTCATCAGACCGCGTTAATATCAACAACAAACATAACACTACGTCATTTGCGGTGAAAACTTATTAAAAAAAATCGAAAAAAAATGAAATTTCATTAAGAAAAATATACACGAATATATGCATTTATTTTACATAAACAAAATATCTGTGATTATTTTAATTGGAGACATTTTTTTCATTTAATGTAACATGTTTATAAGCTATGTATTTTCAAAATATTATGTCTGTGTTTATGTATCTGTGTGTATGTATTAGGTGGGTGCAAAACTATTCAAATTAGAAGCAGAAATAGTTTTTGATAAAACTAAAGAAAATATATAAATCGTTTGCAAATATGTATGTTTGGGTGTATGTGACAATATACATATATATATATATATATATATATATATATATATATATATATATATATATATATATAGAGAGAGAGAGAGAGAGAGAGAGAGAGCTCAATGTAAATCCAGAGCAAATAATTTAAATTTATTACATGGAACCTTAAAGTGGTCTGTTTTATATATATATATATATATATATATATATATATATATATATATATATATATATATATATATATATATATAATACGTTGATGTTTTTACTGAAGAGTTTCTAGTGTACATGTGTTTGCAGACTTCATAACTGATCCAAGTCATGAGAGAGACGATGAATGTTTCTTTTACTAATATTCCCCAATATAAGCCACAAGAGCCAGTCAATGTTGTAGCAAGACCACAAAAGTAGAAATGAACATTATGATGATATGAAAGATAGATAACGACTGAGTGTAGGCTTGTATAGGTTAAGATTGTAGGGCTCATTAAAACATCCACGTGGGTGGCTGATCCACAAAATAGCAGTTCTTGGGAAGAAATGGAACTTCCTTAAATGTGGAATACGAAAGGAATGCGTGGGAGTCGAACCAAGAGTCACAGCATGGTACGTCTTAGTTATATGGAATAAACATTAGCCATGAAAGAAAACAGAAGAGCGACAGTCTTGAGATTGTATCTATGTGACATGATATGTCGGGTTGTAAAGAATTTATCCTCCGCAAGACTCAATAAACGCTTTTGAACTCTGTCAAATCAGGAAAATGAGGATTGTTAAGCTTCAGCTCAGATATGCTATTACCGAATTCTTGTAAAGTTGATGCATGGCAGAAGTCAATTAGTTTTTGGAGACATACAAAAGACATACTATTTCTGCAGCATTTTTAACTATTGAGATCTGGGGGGGGAACATTCAATGACGATTTCCTTCTATTAACAAGCCTATTAGTGTTTTCCCAGAACACACAGAAAACAAGTCTTTTACATTGGTTGCACTGTTTATTGGCATATTCACCACGTTTCAGTCGTTGTACGCTTCGACCTTCTTCAGGCGATTGGAATTTCAAACTGAACGTTTTATTTCTGTCCACCGGAGTAGATTGTTCTAGTTCCACGTGCCATGCGTCTTCCGGATATCTCAGTTATCTCTCTTTAACTCAACTTTTTGTTCACCAATACAGTAGCCATTTATTGAACTCAACTCTTTGGGTGAAAGTCATTGAATCCAACTAACGATTTTATCGACTCAGGACATCAATGTATGAATTTTTGGAACTTATAAACTTAATGCCTAAGTAACAGTTTCTACCAGAGCTCATATTGCAGGTTTTTGTTATTATTGCTTTTCTCAAACACACCGTATTACTGGTTCCCATATTGTTCCCTATGCTTGGCCTAGCATATGTGTTGATTCTTTAAGTTTATGTAAGAGACATGGCACGTAGAACTAGAACAATCTACTCCGGTGGACGAAATAAAAGGTTCAGTTCGAAAGAAAATGCAACACTGAAATCAAAAGGCGCATTGGAATAACCAAAGTTACATACCAAAAACTAAGTAAAGTATTAAGAAACGGAATAATTTTCTTAAGAACAAAGAAAAGGGTACTGAACTGTTATGTAATGTCATTCTTTCTATAAGGCAGTGAATGCTGGACAATTTCCTGACAGATGAAGAAAGAAACTTGAGGCATCAGAAATATGGCTCTACAGAAGGATGCTGAGAATACCATGTTCCAAACGTGTGAGCAAAGACGAACTTTTGGAAAAAATACGAACAAAATGATTCTTATATTTAACACCAGGAAGAGAGTTTCTGGTGCTCATGAATGAGAATATGGCCCTTTTAAAATTCTCAGAACAGCTTGAATATAAGAATGAGAGACGAAGTAAATGTACAGGCTTCTTACTGAGATTTAGTGATGGATAGCAGAACAAGGTTTAGGAAAGATAATCAAAAGATAAACATTTTTATTAAGAGCAACGAAAGACAGAAAAATTTGGAGAGTCAATATCGCCTACTTCCTGAAGGGACACGAAAGTCGTTTTTGATAAAATAGTTTGCAATTTTAAATTAGATTAAAAATAGTTTCTTAAATTTTTAAAACAGGAATTTTTTCAATATTTTTTTAGTTTTATTTTTTGAAAGCCTCTGAATCTATGAGACAAGCACACACACACACACACACACACACACACACACACATATATATATATATGTTTGAAATGTCCTACTCTCACGTCAGAGGATAACAATGCATAACTTACCTTGAGTAAATGAAAGGGAGAACAGAGTCGCGAAGACAAAAACAAAAAAGACAACAAATTATTAAGCGCTAGAAAAGACAGGAAAATGTGGAGAAAAATAGACATGATCGGTTCCGTTCTAAAGGGACACAATACATCGAAGAAAAAGATTATAAGATTTACGATATATTTAAAACAATTGAACTTTTTTAACGATGATGTTTTTGCTATTAGCGCTTTATGTCATATTTAAATATCTTTAAAAATACAGACGGAGAATATTGCGCAGTGAAGCAAAGACAATGGATTTGACCCTCTGTGAAGGACATAACACGGATTTGAGCCGCATTGAAGGAAAAAAAATGAATTTCACTCACACAACAATGCATATGATTATTGCTTTTATGATACGATTAGATCTACTAAGAATGATGACGTAAATATATAGTTTCGTTGAATAAAAGTAGAAATCCAAGCGGGGAATATGAATATAACTCTATACGAAAACAGTTACATAACTTGATTAACTTTTTTCATGGTGGATTATTGGAATAAAGACATTTTGTTGCTAATATCTGAGAATTTACTGATGGGAGAGTGGCTTGCTACTTATTTCTTTATCAACCATCGTTGCAAATTATGAAACGTTTCTCAATATATTTAGCTAAGACCGATGTATTGTGTGTTCAAGAGTATACGGGCCGAGTAAACGGTATGAATAGGAGACGTCGGAGCGTATAATGGGAATATGAACCATTTGAAATCTTTCGTTGTACAAGGAATACTTACATACATACGCCAGCCTATACTTTCACGTCCACCACAAGACTGTCGGGAATATCTGAAGAAAGATGTCATAGTCGAATACAATACAATAGTAGTTTCATGGGTTTCAATGTCACTAGCCGACACTGGCGTGCAAAACGTCAGCGCCGACATGTATAGATTGTACACCCAAATTTATCCTGGGTATCCGCTGCAAAAGAGCAGATGGTTGTAAAAACTTCGCAGAGATGTTGATTGACCCTGTTTTTTGATACTAGTATATAGCTCTGATATGTGTAACTTCAGTTTCAAGCAAAGAACGTTTAACTAGGTAGATCGATATCTAGCTAGACAGATAGATAGAATTAACACATAGATAGATAAACAGATAGACAGACGTGAACAAACTCAAACATATAGATATGTGTAGACTGAGGTATGAAAAACTGAAATAGTTCATGAAAAGGCTGATATAGACAGATAGATTGATAAATAAATAGATAATATAAAAACCGAAAATAAATGCGTGATAAATATACATTAGTGATTAAAGAGAGAAGGCGTTCAGATTCTCTGATAATTTTTCCAGAATTCATGAACATCTATTTATAATGCTAATCTATTCTTGCCTTACGGCAGAAGAAACGTTTCATGATTTTGTATCAGCTTTGATATCAATTTCGTTGGGAAATGATATTTTGTTAATGTAAAAGTTTGTTAATTCCTCTGACTCAGAAATAAAACACTCATCAGGTATCGGTCAGGAAAGAAGTACCAATCTTATTAACCGTCAACGCAATGGCCATCGTTTTTGGCTGATAATAAAACATTCATGGTAAAGTACCAATGACTCTATTCAAAGCCGCAAGCTCCCCTCTGTAAGTGGTAACATTGAACAGGACAGCAAACAGAAATGAAAGGAGAGTGTAAAATTTTGGTGCAATTGCACCTGTTAATTTCATATCAATGGCAATGACATCAATAAGCTAACTGACAATTTTTATTCACACTAATCAGTTTATATATATATATATATATATATATATATATAACAGATTAATGTGAGTAAAAATTTAAAATTCTTATGTGTACAAATATTTGTTTACCCACACTGTATGTATAGCCATCCATATATATATATATATATATATATATATATATATATATATATTATTGGCTATACATAGTGTGTGATTAGCAAATGTTCCTACACATACGAACTTTTAATTTTTGTATTTCCAACTAATGAATAAACATATTTTTCATATAATTAACTGTAAACGCATGATAACTAAATATGCATAGATAACACAAAAATGTTTTATTTGAAATAAATCCCATTTATCCATTTTAATGGGTGAAAAAGTATTCGTACAATCCCAAAAGAATACATAATCTTCATTTAATACTTTGTAGAATAGGCATTATTCACTTCTGCAGCAACCAACATCTTCTTGTAGTTCTCAATTAAAGATTTGTTAATTTTAGTTGGTATTTTGTTCCATTCTTTCTTGCATATGGTCTTCAGATCCAGGATGTTGGAGCTCCCGATTGGATTTGAATTTTCAAATATCGCCACAGATTCTCGATTGGGTTTAAATCTGAGGACTGACTTGGCCATTTCAGGATATTTACATTATTTCAGCAAAGCATTTCTTCGTAGACTTTGCAATGTGCTTAGGATCATTATCTTGTTGGAAGATCCAATTAGAAGGAATTTCAAGATTTTCAACTGGAATGATTACATTTGCTTCCAAAATATTTTATTATGCTGCGGCACTCATTTTACCATCCATTTACCATGATATGTTGTCAGTACCTCTTGCAGAAAAAACATCCACAAGCAATGATGCTGTCGCCACCACATTTCACTGTTGTGTTTTTTTGTTTGAAGGCAGGGTCATCTTCCTACATACATACACGTTTTCTAGAATTACATTCAAACAAGTCAATTTTGGTTTTGTTTGTCCCTAATACCTTTTCCTTATGCCTATGTTCACGAACGAATTTCAACCCAACATATCTGTGTCTTTTCAATAGCAGTGAAAATTTCCGAGGTGGGCATGACTTTAGATTGTTTCTATGAATTTTCCGTTTAGTGACACAAATTCCTGATGGAATCGACTCGTCCTGCAACTCTTGACGAGTAAACATTGAATTTTGTTTAATTTGACGAATTAATTTCCTCAAAGATCTTGAATAATCTTCCGTGGAGCAGCTGTTTTTCTTTGGTTTTCGACAGTTTTGATTTTGTATAGCTTGTCATGAATGAACTAATGGTGGTTAATAGAATATTTCAGTTTTCTGAGAATTTCCTGTAAATTTTACCTACTTTCCAGACCTTAAAAATCAGTTCTTTCTGCGAATTTTTCAATTCTTTCCTCTTGAGATGATGATAAACTTCTTGCATGAATATCAATTACAGAATGTTCTGTTTGTATTCTAAAAATGACTACCGATAACATTATTGAATCATTCTAGAATAGTCCACCGGAATAATTTAGAGTATTAAAGCAATTTAAAGGTTTAAAAATATGAAATTCGCATTGTACGAATACATTTTTTTATCTATTAAATTGGTTAAATGTTGGTTATTTCTATTAAATCAGTATTTTTTCTGTTTTTTATGGATATTTAGTGATTATGCAACTGTGTACAGTTAATTATACGAAAGGTATCTTCATTCAGTTGTCGGAAATACAATAAATTTAAAATTTGTATGTGTACGAATATTTGTTTCTCCCCACAAATATATGTAACCCGTCTTTCTCCACTCTTTCCCTATAAACATAAAAAAATAATTAATATATGTATGTCTGTGTCTGTGTGTGTGTGTGCAGTCACTTCTATTGTGACAGGTGAATACTATTTTTTCTAATATGAAAGGCCTCGTATTTTTCCTTACTGAGAATCTTATATTTTCGTTGCCTATAAGTACATAGAACTCTTGACAAAAATTATTGAATCACTATACTTAGACGAGATTCACCCAGAATTATTGCTTAACAGTAAACAAATAACTCATAGATATGACACAAAACAAGTTTTTTTTTCAGGCCTTTGGAAATACGTTACTGAAAGAAAGTAAAAATATTTGGATTAATGGCATATTCTTCCGAGATCAACTGCCAAAATTATGGAATCATTTGATTCTGGTGGACATGAAATTGCATTATAATTTGTTTTGAAAACAAACAGCAACAGAAATCTAAATACGCAAAAAATGTTAACGCTTTTTTTCAGGAAATGCGTATCAATCCAATGTTGGGCGAGCAAACTGAATCTAAAGCCATTTAAAATCCATAGTTAACAATTAAAAAATAATCCATGACAAAACGTCAACTTAAAAGATAAACTGCCAAGTGTCACTCGGAAATAATTTAACATGATAGATAGATAGAATTGTTTTTATTCCTAGTGAATGCTATTCCTTAAATAATTCCTAAAATCCCAACGAGGAACAGAAATATTTAATTTTTTCTTCTATTTGATTTGTAAGAAATAATGTCAAAAATTTAAATAATTGCATTTTTACGCTTATTTCATAAAACCTGAAAATTAAACACATATTTTTGTTTTGGGTTTTTTTTTTTTTGTCGGTAAGTCATGTCTGTTATTTTTTTTATTTACAACAAAGAAAAAGAGCTGTTGGAATACGCGAACATATCCTCTAAGGGTAGATATTCAATTTCTTTTTCGCCATGGATCACATATATTACAAGCAGGATTGTTTATAAATGCTTTGATGATATTGAATTTGCTTTATCATTAAAATTCATCATGACATGGAAGTTGAGCACCTCGACATGGCAGAATGGTTAACAAGCTTGTCTCGCTAGATCAACTACGACTGAATAGTGAGTTCAATCCTTATTGTATGCCCCATTATTTCGGCCTTCTACCACATCTAGGCAATCCTTAGAAAATCATTTGGTCACTTTGACACGGTGTAATGTTAACAAGCCTCTCTCGCTAAATATATTTTAGACTGAGCAGTGACCGTTCCATACTGTCGGCCTTGTGCCACATTTAAGCTACGCCTAGAAAAGTACTATCATGGCACGGAAGTTTGTAAAACAAAGAACAACAGCTATTAGCAGTTTTGAATATATAAATATGATGGCATTAACTGATTTCTACCTTTATGTGTTTTCTGATATGTTCACTAATGCTGGATAATTTACAAGATAACGCGCCCGCGCGCGCGTGTGTACGTGTGATAGTGAAAGACAGATGATTTTTTATAAATGGTTTATATATGGATACAAATAAGACAACTGCAAAAGCAGGTCGATGTCAGGGTGAAATGATGAAAACCTTTTAATTCTTTCAGTTGAGTAAATGTGAGTATGCGAACAGAAAGAAAAAGTATAACACTATTACAAAGAAAATATCACGAAATCATTTGCCCTGAGCTTCAATCCAAATAGACCCGAAATGATATTCGTGAGAAGGAATCAGATTAGCCCTTCTCAATTTTCCCGCCTTTTTCTTCGGCCCGTTGGCAATTCAATATGACTTCTTTTTTCAGTTCTCTTTTACTTTTTAGAGTTAATTTAAAGCTTATCAAGACTTTGTTTAAAGTTTTTATTACTTGCCATTACCAACCAGAGAAAAAAAGAATCTTCAAACATTATCTAAAATTTCGAATGACTCAGTGAGGATTTATATTCAATAGTTTTCAGGTGCCTCTTGTTGACCTATGTGAACAACATTGTTTAGAGGCTGAGGTAGTTGCTTATTTTACTGGTAGTTATAGAAGTCAGTGTTCGAGTCGCGGTAAAAGGATTTGGAATGCCGATTTTTTTTTTTTTGAAAACCGTCGCTATTTATTTGTTACTTGGGAAGACGTTAATTTGTAACTTTTGTTTCCATTTGATTGGTCTTTTTTAGATTAATGATAATCTTATTGCAAATCAAGGAAAGATAACAAAATAAAGGAATTAATCTTTTCCAACAAATCATGATAATTCACAGATATTAAAGGTTCCAATGGAAAAAAAAACCTGATCAACTATATTCTGAAAAAAAATGATACTATAATAAGTTGAAAATAGATGATGTATTGAGAAATGGATATTACGTAATGTTCA